GATAACTTTTATCCTTTGTACATGGGTTTTTTTTTTCTGATATGTAGTGATTTTATTCCACGGCTGTAGTTTCCACAGGAGCATGTGGTGTATTGTATAAAATGCCATGATCTGGTAAACACGTGTACAGTTGAGGACTTCATTGGCTCTGTAAGGTGGGGGCAGGGGATGCATCTGTGATGACTTCTGGAAATGCAATAGCTACACTGTTTGTGGTTCCACATGGTGCGTGTAGATCAGGGGAAACTTGCTTCTGCTAAGTTGCTGTGTGAAGACCTTGAAAAGAGTGGCAAATGTAGTAGAGGACTGACTGATGTTACTCTCAAGGCAAGAAGTCTTTGCCTTGAAAAGGTGATGTGGAATTATGCAGAATGCATCATTTTTGTATTGTTCCTCTTGGCAACACCTCTAGGAAAGAGGAGGGTATCTCTTGATCTGATGAATTGGTAGTGTAAGGAACATAACCACATGCTAACTGTGTATCCTTTTTAGAAAAAATAAGCTTGGTGTGTTTGAGGTGTAGGAATGGTTCAGTTCATGTCTCTGAATAAACTACCTTGGAGAATTTGTTACAGAAGGAACAATTTACTTAAAATACTGTTTCCTTTTTTGTTTGAGGTGAGGTTTGGCAACTCTACCAAGGGATGTGAGAGCATCACATAACTGTTAGATAGAGGCTCCCTTGGGCCAGGAGGTGATCTTGACTTATTTACATCCGTCCCCGCTTCAGCTAGGAGCCGCAGCTTTGGTATTTTGTAATTTTGGGAAAGTTGTGTGTTTTAGTTTTGCCATAAATTTTGGGGTTTCATTTAAGCATTGCTGCTTGAAATTCTGTATATTGCATTATGCAGGAAGTACTTTTGAATAATTGTCCTTTAACACCACTGAGACACTTTTTAAAAAATTTACAATATATTTAATTTGTGTATGTGAGCAATTTCAAGTGCTTGTCGTCAGTTTAGATGTATGCCCTTGAGGAAGCCTTCCCTTGGTAACTGGGAACTCTTAATTTTCATACTTCAATATGCTGTATTTATGAATAAGCTTTCTGGATGCAGTCATCAAAACAGTATGGAAGAGGGGGTTGTAGAGCTTGAATAATAATTTACATCAAGAACAGGGGTGTAATGTTTGGAGATACTGAAGATGTGGAGCTGGGGGAAAGGATAGACTTCACCAGAAGTGGGAAAGTAACTTACTTTCCCTTTTTCCCTGTTTGTTTCCTGATGAGACACGGGTTAGGTGATGGGAACCTGGATAGCAAGTTACAAATGAGCAGAAGAGGTAGTCGGTGTGTCTGCTTCTGAGGCACACATGCTTGTAGTTGAATACTCCTTTTAACTCCGATGCATTCATCAAAGAAGGTGGAGAAATTGAACCAAATTATTGTAAGGGGTAACATCTTCCACATAACTAAAGTCATTCTTCGGAACAAGATTCGTAGTTGTTTAGGTGCTGTTTTAGTAATAGCCTTAATGTATTTCCTAAAAACTCAAAATCTGATTCCCCTGTCCAGTCTTTCTTTGGTCTTTCTGTTCTGGTTTATGTTGTGCTATGTCCCAGTCGCTCTGTTTAGGAGTTTGGGTTTTTTGTTGTTTTGGTTTTACGTCTCCTATTGTTCTTGCAGGTTTCTGATCCAAGTATCAATTTCTGGTAGTTGCCATTTTCTGTCGATCTGTATTTGTAAAACGCTTTGTTAATGTGTTTTTTGCAGATGGTACAGTTGCATGTTGGGGAAGAAATGCAGTTTAGCACCATTGAAAGAGGAACTTCGAATCCAGGGGGTGAGTTTGTGTACAGCCTGTCCATACCCTGTGTATGTTCTGTGCACTATAGGCTGTGTTCTGCTGCGTGTGGGTAATTACTGAGTTTTTGTTTACAAGCAGAAACTGCGGTTACTTGTTAGGGAAGCACTCAAAGCAGTTGAGCTTTAATTATTGTAGATTCAGAGCTGATAGAGAAGTAGTGCATAGCTGATAGATAGTGATAGCTGATAGATAGTGCATAGCATCTCCAGATTGTTGTCTTTATCACATGCAGACACAGGTCTTCATCCATTCTAGATCATGCAGGATTCTGCTTTGAAATAGCCCAACAGGGCTGTTGTTAAATAAAAAATAATAAATTCTAGCACGCTCTCCTCTTACCTCACGTGAAATGTGGCATTGTGGTTGATAAAAGAAATTGTAATGTTATTTGTTTTGTTTGTTCTGGCACCAAGAAAAGTTGAACCTTGTGCTACTATTCTCATGCAAGAAGGCTCTGCATGGGGCTTTTTTATGGCTTTCTGTAGGAAGCGTAGTCTTCTCTGATTTCCAGAGAAAGTGATCGACGCCTGTCCTTGCACGTGGTGGAGAGCGGAGGGAAAGACAATGCGTGGTGAAATCAATTCTCAGAACGATGAGCTGCAGGCCACTGGGAATCTGTAAACTCAGTGCCAAAAGCAGAGCTAGGCACGAAATTTCTAGTGTCTGACTTTCTTCCCTATCCTCGAACTGTTGCACCTCAGCCTTAAAGCGAGAGAAATCCTTCCAAACCTTACACCGAAAAGCTGTTTTGTGTTTTCCTTGAAATTACTAATTTAATTTTCTTCGGGTTTGTGTTCTTTGTATCAGAGCTGGGAATGTGTTCGTTGTAACCAAGCACACGCTGTGTTGTAGTTCAGGTTAGGATGCAGCATAAATGCTCCAGAAAGTCCACTCATTGGTCGGATTGTCTTGACATTTGCTGCATTTATTGGAAATATTGATAGAATTAGGAATCGAAAGGTGGGGAAGGTTCTAGGAGAGACACCTTTTAATCTTTTTCTTTTTTTTTTTTTTTTGAAGGCATTTCTCAAAAGTAGCGTATTTCTTTTCTTTCTTGTTTTGTTTCTTCCCTCGCCCTGTGCAGTCCTGGGGCTCTGGAGCTGATGATGATTCAGAGCGAGGTGGGATGGTTGATACTTATCCTTGCTAGCACGTTCTCCATACCACGCATAAGTGCCTTACAGCATCCGTGTGTGGAAAGACTAAACAACACAAACATCTGAATTTTACATATAAAGGCGGTGTAAGTTCAGACTTGATTTGGGGTTTTTTTTGGCAAATACAGAGAAGTGTTTCTGGGTGCGTTTCTGCCATCTGCAGACAGGTGAGTGGCTTAGCTTCCCAGCCCTTCGCCTTTGCTGCAGCAGTGGGTTCAGCGTTCAAATGTGAAACAGGAGCAGGTCCTGAATGTGGAGAAGGGATGTGCTTTTTGCAGAATCAGTCTGCAGATGCTTGCTGGATCGCTGCACAAGAAGGTTAGTGTTGTGTGTTGCTGAACTGAGAGCTCTGAAAGGGCACAGATGTGGCAAGGCGGAGATGAGGAATCCGGGACGTGGGTACCACGCTTGGCAGCGTCAGACGTTACTGACATCCATGACCTGTCTCAGAAAGATTCTGTGTTGCTGCCGTGAGAAAATAACTGTGCTAACTTTGTAATTTTTTTACACTGGAAAACGGATGCAGTAAAACAATATTGTTTGTGAATATCAAACAGAGTTTTACGTTGCTTCTTTGCATAGGTTCCCAAAGTTACGCATACGGAATTCTGCCAAGGACGCACCATGAGATGGGCACTGGCGTGGAGTTTCTATGAAGATGTGCAAGTACCTGTAAGTAGCTTCATTCTGGTTTGCTTGTGATGGTCTGTGCCTCTTATTTGAGGAAGGGCCTAATGAGCCGTAACTACGGTGAAACAAACTTGTTCTCCTTCAGACTGGAACACTGGATGTGCTGGGCTCTACGGACAGTGGGATTTCTTAACTGCCTGCCAGTCTATTAGTTGTTACATGTGATACTGAATGACCTCTTCTTCGGAAGGAAAAAAGGAGCCTCTGTAGGAACTTCCTGTGGGTTTTAGTGAAAGTAAGGGTCGCTGGTAACAAACTGCAAATAGCAATTTAGTAGTATTAAAAATAGGCTAAGTTTGGGGCTAGATTTGAACTTCAAACTTCCCTCTGAGAACTTGGTTTTAATTTACCGTGTAGATTGTGTTACCAAGTAGGTGTGAACGTGTCTAACTCAGAGTTGCCTACATGAATGTAAGTGGAGCTTGTTCACCTTAAATAATGTGAGCCAGTTGCTGGTTTTGGATCCAGATGTACATATACTTGAAGATTGGTATAGGCAATAACCAACCTTGTAAAAGATGCAAGTAAACCTTCAGTGAACTTGGATTAAAATGGGGATGTTGCACTTGACCTCTATTTCCAAGAGCAGCCGCACTTCCCAGCTGACAGAAGCTAGTAGTTTGAAGGAACCCATGAAGCCTTTTGCCCAAGGTCTGAAGACAGACTCCTTCTGTCTGTCAGGCTTGATAAAGTGCACGATCCTGTTAGCTGTTGGAGGGAAGTGAAACACAGGCCATGCCAACGACAGTTTAGTGGCTTACGTCATACTCTCCATCCCCGGGTCTTCTGAGTGCAAGTCATCCCACTAACACCGGACAGCTTTGTAATATTTTTGTTCTTTCTTCTTTCTGCTAGTCACCTCCTTCTAAAAAAAGAAAATTGGAGAAACCCCGAAAACCAATTACGTTTACGGTCCTGGCTTCTACAGTGGAAGAGTTAGCCACCAAAGCTGCAGCTCTGGGCTGGGATGCTGTAGAAGCTATTGCTGTGGTTAGAGCCTGGGTGGAGAAGATTCTCACTGATCTGAAGGTACGGTGTTAAGTATGATAGGTTAAACCAACATCCTACTTGAAAGCATAACCGTGAGAGGGTGGTGTGAAGTTCTGCTGTTCTCTACGATAGGTTCAGCATAAGCGTGTTCCCTGTGGGAAGGATGAAGTGAGCCTGTTTGTGACTGCCATTGAAAACTCCTGGATTCATTTGAGGAGAAAGAAACGAGAGACAATAAGGCAATTACGAGAGCTTCCCCGAGCTTCTGAAGGTCCTCTGCAAGCAATGGAAGAGGAAAAAACCAGTGAAGAGCGTGAGTCACAATTCGGACTGTGAAAACCCCAAGGCTGACGACTCTGAGACAGGGTTTCTGGCACCTGATGGGGATGTCTGCTTGGCCGCAGGTGACGAGCTAATGGAAGCATCGGCTACCAAAGAAGAGCACAGCAAGCACGTGAAGGAGGAGGAGACAGAAGCAAAGCAGGAAGAAGCATCTCTTGGCAAAGGTTCCAGTAATGCAAAGGAGGAACCTTGCCTTTCAGAGGAAGCTGGCAAAGTGGCAGTTGAAAAAGAACAGAGTCCCAAAGAAACCAGTAGATGTTTTCTCTTCAAGTGTTTAGTGAATGTGAAGAAAGAAGGGAATGATGTATTAGTAGAAATGCACTGGGTTGAAGGACAGAACAGGGACTTGATGAACCAGCTGAGCACATACGTACGGAACCAAATTCTTCGACGGGTTGCTAGCTAGCCCTTTTCCCTGCTTTGGTACAGTCACTCCTCACATTTTGTACACGTATTTTTAATGGATTGAAATTTTTGTTTAGCAAAACCTGCGTTTTTTCCCCTTAAAAAAAAAAAAGAGAAGAATGGAGATTGAAGTCCCCTTTAATTTTTTAAATAGCTTTTTCAGAGCTGTAAGGAGGACATGAAGGGATGGGGGAGCGATAGATTTTGTGCTGCAGTTGTAAAACTACATGTTAAAGTGGAACGTGTCTATGCTGGGGCTGTTTCACATACCAACAGTGCTTCTGCTGGTGCAATAGAATTATATATTGTTACGAAATAGAAATCTTTACTGAAATGTTTTCTTCAGTATTTTTTCAGTGCTAATGCAGGAAACGGTTCGTCTGCTGTGGGAATCGTTTTCTGCAGCGAGGATCCTTCAGCTAGGGATTGAAGTATGCCTCTCTTCACTGCATTCCGCCTTTGGTCTGCAGAGTGGGACGATGGATACATCTTCTGAGGGTCCGTTCATTAAAATAATCGCTTTAGGCAAAAACGCGTGTTGTGCTTTTCTCGTGCGTGGGCTTTGGGACACAGACGAGCCGACTGTTGGCTCTCAGGGGAGATGGTGGGCCAGAATGCACAGGACGCCGATGGCTACAGCAGCTTTAGGCTGTTGCGAAGGAAGCAACTGGAAAGGCGGGTGTTGCTTGCACGCCTGACTCCCTAGCCCTTCTTACCACCGGTGTTTCTGGGCCAGCGACCTCTTCCTGCGAGAAGAGAGGGATGTGGGCGTCGGTGCCTCAAGGTGGGGCGCGGGGGTGTGGGGTGGCGAGTGGGGCTCCGTTTCTCAGTGCGTCCCTACGGAACACAGGCAGTTCTGGGTGAAGCGTGCGTTACCCAAAACTAAAGATGCGTCTGTCTGCGAGGGTAACGGAGCTCGCCCAGGTGAGCCTGTGCGTTGTGCCACCTTTGTTGTGCCGAAGCTAATTCCGCCTGCCCCCTGTACAGC